TGCAAAGGCATGGTCTCAAAATCACAAGACCTCCGGGTACAATCCAGGTTGAATGTACCTGGAGAAACACGGGTTGGTAGGCTATACCTACGGCATGAGAAAAATAGGCTCTGATACCATGTTAGAAATTTTTGGGGAAAAATAATGAAATTGTCTTATTGATCATCAAAATAAGGGGCTAATACATAGGCAATACAAAACCGACTCGATAGACTCAAATCTAAGTAATCTAATCTATGGATAAAACCAAATCTAAATATAAATCTACTAAATCTAAAATCGAATATTTAAAATATCTCAACATTTACTATACAATGATTATTTTTACTAACACACTTCTTAATTACTTACTAATTATATTTTACCTAAATTCTTGTGTTTATAGTAATACGACTATATTACATTAGACGGAGGGAGTAATAATTAATATTTAAATATCAAAACGCAAAATGTAAATTGATACTTAGTTACGGGACGGAGGGAGTATCATTTATATATATTTAGGGGTCTCTTAGTTTTGTTTTAAGATTTTTTTTACATTCAAAGGAAAATATAAGACAAAATTAATATTAATCTTATTATTGATATTTTATATCTAAAAATGCTAAAAAAAATTGCTTTTTAATTATTTATTATTTATTATAGGTAAAAAAATTATCTATATATATATAAATTTAAGGGCCCATAATTTTTGTTTCACCCCGAATCCTTCGAATCAAGACTCGCAATGTTGTTGACATGATACGGTATAATGTGAGAGACAAAATACTTTAATAATACAAATTAAAATTAATTTGTATTTGATTGCAAGTTGAGAGTTATAATCCGAAGTTCGATATTACTCTTGAATAATTGAATAATGAGATATTGTTTAATTATAAGTTTGTGCATTAAAAAAATATTAAACAAAATTAATATTAATACAATTATTAATATTTTAAATTTAAAAATGATAAAAGATTGCTTTTTAATTATTTATATTTTATTATAGATAAAAAAATATTATATATATATATATATATTTAAGGAACCCTCATTTTTGTTTCACTCGGATCTTCGAAAATCAGGACCGACAGAACATGATATGGTAGAATGTAAGAGACAAAATACTTTAATAACGTAAATTAAGATTAAGTTGTATTTGATTGCAAGTTGGGAGTTATAGTTAAAAGTTCGATTTTACTCTTGAGTAATAAGATATTGTTTAATTATAAGTTGACTTGTGATGAAATAATTTTGATTATATATAAAATTTAAAATATAAATCTACAATATTTTTAAAATCTACTTCCATGAAATATATTCAATAGTATTTTATATCTCCCCCGTCCAGCAGAAAGTATACAATTATTTTTGCATTATTGTATTTAACAAAAAAGATATAATTATATTTATATAATTTCCTCCATAAATATCATTGTATTTTTTATTATAAGAGACTAATTGAGGTACTTTTGTTATTTTCTCTTAATTTGTATTACATTTTAATATAATAAATAATAGTAAAACATCAACACAAAAAAATAACTATATACTTTATGGTCGGACAAAAGCAATATAATACAAATATATAATACTACATATTTATTTATAATTAATATAAAATAATTAATATAAATTAATTTATTTATAGTGTATGTAAATATATTTGTTTATTTACAAGAGCTAAAAATATTAAACTATAAATAGGTCTCATCTTAAACAAAATTGAGCAAATAAGTGAAGTGGGAAAAAAAAAAAGAAGGGAAAATAATATCTACTTAGATTCCAACGTGTAGCAAGGTTCTGTTCATTTAAAAAAAAAATATTTTACTTTATTACTATTATTCGATCTTTATTTCTTTATCTGCTCAGCCACGGTGTCTCCTTAATTTACTATAGACACGAGACTTTAGCAGGGGTGTCATTACTAAATAATTAAAAATGTATTAGAAAAAATAATTATCATATAATAAAAATAATTATAGATTATAATTAAATAAGTAATTAGTTTAATTAAAATTAAAAAAATTATAAATTAAAAAATATAAAATAAGATTAAAGTGTATAATTTTTTTAAAAAATAATAAGAGAATAAGTGAGACCGACAAAAATGGATAGATAAAAACGGTAAGGGGAACGAATGAAGTATTATTTAAAAAATTATTTTCTCATGCAAAATTTATTCTCTAAATTGCTATTAAAAAAAATTTCAATCAATCAATCAAAATCTAAAAAAAAAATCACCAATTAAAGGCTTTGTCTGCTTTTTTTTTTTTTCCCTAAAATCAAAATCAATATTATTCAGTAAGTTATTAATAAAATATATATAATTTTATATTATAAAATATTTTATTAAAATACTATTCAAACAAAAAATTAAAATAAAAAACTCAAACTCAAACAAAACAAACCTTAAACACTTTTTAATTAAGAAATTTAATCATCCAAATAGTACATTTATTCGATAGAAATAATTTTAATAAAATTTAAATTAATTATTAATTTTAAATGTAAGAAATAACATTACGAAACAAGATATATATATTTTTAAATAAATAAATTAGTAGGTATGGACAATTATATATATGTACATGCAGGTAGCGCAGCATGCATGGCAAGCATGCAGTTTGAAAGCAAATAATTGGCAAAGGAGACGGCGGATAAAAAGCTTAAATTAAAGTTGAACAAACAAACATCCAAAACCATCGATCAATCAATTTCACCACTTTCTTACTTATCCACTTCTTCTCTCTCTCTCTCTAAATAATTAAACCAAAATCTAAATAAAAGAAAAAAAAAATACAAATCAAACTCAAATAAAAATCAAACATAATTATTTGCATATATATATATATATATATATATCTTTACTAAAATTCTTTTATACTGTCGCTTCCGTCCGATTCTAAGGATCTCATTTACTTTTTGCGTATTGATTTTTAATATTAATTATTATATCAAAATATAGTACAAATTAAGAAAAAAGTACAAAAATATTTTCATTAGTGCCTTATAATACTAATAGAAGGACATTTGTACAAAAAATTATACAAATACAAGGATATTTTCAATGTTAAGTACAATAACGCAAAAGGTAAATGTGACCTTAGAGATGGAGAGAGAAAATATTTATTTTGGAAATTGAGTGTTATTTTGTGTTTTGAATGCTTTAATTTTTATTATTTTATTTTATTATGTAAAATAATATATTTTTTTTGGCAATATTAACGGAAGCTATTTGTGTGTATATATATATATATATATAAATAAAGTAAATACTCTTATATATGATTATTATTATTATTGAAATGAATCGGAATTATATTGTGAAATTATGTGAGATAATAATTATAAAATTGATAAAGTAAATTATTGAAAGTATATTGGCGCGTAGTGTTTGTTTTGTGTTTTGAATTTGAGGTTTTTTTTTTTTTTTTATTATAAGTTACGGAAAATATATCGATAATATAAAAAATAATATTTTATTTTGAATTGTTGATATTTTGTGACCGAATATAATATATACTTCCTTCGTCCCAACTCAAAATACAATTTTTACTATTTTTGTTTGTCTCATTCAAAATTATTTATTTCTTATTTCAATAAAAGTAATCATACATTAATACCAAAATATATTTAAATTTGACTTAAATTACTAATTTACCATTACATATACAAAAACTTTTATGTATAAAGTAAAATGACAAAAATGTTAAAACACCTTACTCGCTTCCACTAACAAATAAAATACTATTATGTCTTAATTTATTATAAAATTCCGAAAAGATACATTTGAAATGGACAAAAAAATATATCTATTGTGTAAAATAAAGATGATATTCCCTCCGTCCCACTTCTCATGTTCACGTTTCTATTTCCGTCTGTCCCACTTATTCGGTCACTTTCCTTTTTTGAAAAAAATTATACACTTTAATCTTATTTTAAAAAATTAAATTTATAATTTTTTTTAATTTTAATTATACTAATAAGTTATCTTAATCTTAATCTATAATTATTTTTATTATACGATAATTATTTTCACTAATAAATTTTTAATTATTTACCAATTATACCCCTCTTAAATTCTCGTATTTACAGTATATCGGACAAAATATTTGAAACGGAAGGAGAATTTTTGAATACTATTGATCAGGAAGCCTATAAAAAAAAAAAGTGTTAGATGAACAACCCCTATGGATATCAAACATTCAAAAGTAGTGAATGAATTTAAATTATCTTTTATTATTCAATTTGTATAAACATCACATCTCACGGTAATACGAAATTTAAACTCAAATTCAAATTCAAACCAAAATGGAACAAACTTTTAAATTTGAAAGATATGCGTGTTCTTCCACGATTCTCAAAAAATAGATTTTTTTAAAAAAATTAATATAATAACATATATTTATTATTTTTATATTACTTACACAAATTTCTATACCTCAAATAAAAAATATTTATTCAAACAATTTCATTAAACATACACACTATTGAATATGGAGATATTACTAATTTAAACTTCTTTATTTGTAAATTAATGCTATATTAAAATATCATATATACATATATATGATCAGTACGTTGACACACATAATGAATTGTTAATCCATATACGAGTTGAAATGTTTCATAAATATCGATCTTTTGCTTTTGCTGACGTTGTATTAACATTAAAAATATTATAATATTTGTATAATTTTGTGTATAAATGTCTTTTATTAGTATTATAGAACACTAATAGAAGTATTTTTGCAATTTTTTTTTTATTTGTAGTACATTTTGATATAATAATTAATATTCAAATACCAACCCATAAAAAGTAAATGAGACCTTAGAGCCGGACCGAGTAGTATTATATTAAAAAAAATGGTATTGTAATTAGAAAGGTGTATATTTGCATTTGAGCCATTCCTCTAATATTATAATGTAATATGCACTTCTTAATATAAGTGAAAATTTTAGATAAAAAATAAATAGTGAATAATTGAATGTAATATGTATTTTTATTACTGCAAGAAAACAACTACAATATACAAAAGGAGAATATTCACATTCATAATGATTTACAGTCCCATGAAGCCAAAAAATCAACGGACCTGATCTGCTGCCGAATCACGTTCCATTTCAATCAGCCGTCGATTTGATTCCTCCTTCTTCTTCGTCGTCTTCTCTTCCAAATCTTCCTCTGATGGCTTCATATTGTCTGTAAAAGTGCTGTTGCCATTAAAGGAGGTGGGAGCTTTGCTGGCAAGAAAAGTTGGCATATCTTGGCCTGCCATGATGACCAGGAATTTCTCCTCCACCGCGGCCGCCTCCGCCGGCGGAGCTTTGTCGCCGGAGTCAGCTTCTCCGGCGGTAGTTTCCTGGAGGTTGTTGTTTTGGAAATATCCAGAAAGCTTCCAGTAGGAGCAGAAGAGGATGATGAGGGCAAAGGCAATGAGGGCGAGCATGGCAGCGAGTCCTCCAAAGAGGTACGGCACCGGAGACTGCCATGGCGACCGCGGGACCGACGATGATGATGACCCTGAATTAGACGACGACATGGTACGAACCTGCAACCTGTTAATTTATTTAATTAATTAATTAAAGTAATAATTATAATTAGTAAAGCTTTGAGATGATTTAATATATTTGCTTTGAGTATGTGAAGAAGATGGAGACGTGGGTGAGGGTAGGCAGAGGTTTTGGTGGAGGAGGAGGTGGAGGGTTGTGGCCGTGCCCATATATATGTAAAGGAAGGGGAGGAGAATAGAATTCTCGAAATTTCAGGAATGTAAGTGCAATTTTTGTTTCATTTACTCCCTCGGTCTCGGTAGAGATGAACCATTTTATTTGGGCACGGTAATTTAGATAATATAATTTAGTGATTTAGATAGTAAATATTAGTTACTTAATGATTAAAAAAATTTTAAAATATATGTTTAAATATTTTAATGCTACCTCCGTCCCAAACACCCTGCAATATTTTTTTTTTGTTTGTCCCAAACTCACTCTAATATTTCCAAATTTAGAAATAATTAATAATATTTATATACATATATTAATATATACTTCACTTTATCTCATCACATCACTCAAATAAAAAAATAAATAATCAATTCTCTCTCCAATCACATCACTTAATATCCAAATTATCTTAAATTACCATACTTAATACTCCCCACCTAAATTCCCGTGCCAAACACAAATGTTGCACGGTGTTTGGGACGGAGGGAGTATTATATTTTGTTGAAATATTTTAGATATTCAGTTTTAAAATTTAGTAGATTTATATATAGATTTGATTTTATCTATAGATTAGATTACTTATATTTGAGTCTATCGCGTTTGCTTTGTATGACCCCTTATTTTGATGATCAATAAGACAATTTCATTATTTCTCTCCAAAATTTATAATATGGTATCAGAGCCTATTTTTCTCATGCCCTAGATATAGTCTACCAAACCGCGTTTCTCCGGTTACATTCAACATGGGATGTACCCGGAGGTCTCCCAATTTTGATATTTTTTCTATAGTTGATAGCCCTTTCTTTTCTGATTTTAATTTTGTTGAGTCCTGATTTTGTCTACAATTGAAGTCGTCTGCGCATTTGTCTGCGATTCTGCGATCCCTCTGTAACGTTTCTTCAGAGCCATGTTTCTCATTGCAATGAGAGTCCCGTTATTTTCGACTTTGTGGAGAGTACTCTCATCATTTTCGGCTCCGGTGGAGTCATGTCGTTTTCAGCTCGGGTGGAGCATCATCTTGTTTTTCGGCTCTAGTACAGTCATTTTATTTTCGGCTCTAGTGGAGTCATCTCGTTTTCAGCTCCAGTGGAGTCATCTCGTTTTCGGTTCCGATGGAGTCATGTGGTTTTCGGTTCCGGTGGAGTCATGTGGTTTTCGGCTCCGGTGGAGTCATGTCGTTTTCGGCTTCGATAGAGTCATCTCGTTTTCGACCATCTCGTTTTTCGGCTCCGGTAGAGTCATCTTATTTTCGGCTCCGGTGGAGTCATCTCATTTTTTGCTCCGGTTGAGTCATCTCGTTTTCGGCTCTGGTGGAGAGTCATCTCGTTTTCGGCTCTGGTGGAGAGTCATCTCGTTTTCGATTCTGGTGGAGTCATCTCGTTTTCGGCTCCGGTAGAGAGTCATCTTGTTTTTTGCTCCGGTGGAGTTACGTCGTTTTCGGCTCCGGTGAAGAGTCATCTCGTGTTCGGTTCCGGTAGAGAGTCATCTTGTTTTTTGCTCCGGTGGAATTATGTCGTTTTCGGCTCCGGTGAAGAGTCATCTCGTGTTCGGCTCCGGTGGAGTCATGTTGTTTTCGGCTCCGGTGAGAATCATCTCGTGTTTTGCTCCGGTGGAGAGTCAACTGCTAATTTTATTTGTGTTTTTATTTTGCGTTTATATTCAACCTTCTTATCAAACTCAAATTGGTTTCTGTTATACCACTTGAGTTTGAGGGGATGTTGATATATTTCAGATATTCAGTTTTACATTTAGTAAATTTATATTTAGATTTGATTTTATCTATAGATTAGATTACTTATATTTGAGTGTATCGAGTCTGTTTTCTATTGCCTATATATAGACTATTTTTCGATGATCAATAAAACAATTTCATTATTTCCCCCAAAATTTCTAACATACCTCAATAAAATGCATATAATATGAATATTATTTTATAAAATGTAAAATTTTATATAATACAAGTAAATAAAAAATATGTTTATTTATATATCATTATTATAAATTAGTTTTATAAAAAAATTAAGAGTTTTAAAGATAAATAAAAATATATTCAAAAAATTGGTCTGGCGCGACGGAGGGAGTACTTTTGAACATGAGTTTAAGGTCTTTTGGATGCGTTTTCTTGGTACTTTGGTTCCATATTTTTGTTATTTAATATATATATATATATTAATTTGATTACATATTAAATATATAAATTATTATTTAAATAAAATAAATACAAAATAAAATCTAGAATGTGTAAAGAATAATTATTTTATCTATTAAACCAAATGTTTGGAAAAAAAAGAAAGTAAACATACTAGTGTGTTTTTTTAGTAAAATTATTTTAAGAGTTTTTTTTTTTTTTTTTTTTTTTTTATGTGAAGGGAATTATGTAAGTAGATAAAAATAATAAATGTGTATAATATATTATTTTTTTGAAAAATATGTTTTTAGGGGATGGTGTAAGAACACACTTATCATATTTTCTTTACATTTTCCGGTTAATCTGAACGCACCGATTATTTATTTGGTTTGATTTTTGCTTTTGAAATTATTTTTTATTTGAATTTAATTTTAAATTATTTTGATATGTTATTTAATAAAATAAAAATATTTTATATTTATTAAGAATAGTACTAATTGTATAACAAAATAAATGATTTGAATTACAAACTAGACAAACAGTAAATCACATATTAACTAATTTATTAATTAATTGTGTAATACTCCTATATCTCATCTAAATAGTTGTCTCATGTAATGAAACATTATATAATAGATTAATGCTATATGTAGTTAATTAAAGAAATATTGGACAAATAAAGCAGTAAATAACATAATCAAACAAAAATGTGACTTGTAAATTATTGTATTTATTCATTTGAACAATATATAGCACATTGAGAGTAAATAATTGGCAAGAGGAGACGAGAAAGATGATGGATAAAATATTAAAAGTTGAATAAACATCCCAAATCATTTATCAGTTGCAGATTCAGTTTCTATTTTTCATCTGAATTTTTTATTTTTTATTTTTTAATTTTACTTAATTGTTGATGTTTACTAATTTTGTAATTTCACATGTTAATATAAAATAATTAATATAATTTTGATTGTTATGTGTATATTGTAATTTGTATATATAAATGTAAAAAATGAATATGATTTATTACAAAATAAGTCACGTGCTTATAGAATTTGTTTATAATTTACCATTTTAAGAATCAATTATAATTTATTTTTTTCAAAAAATATCATATGAAAAATACTATTTAAACAAAATTCAAATGAAGACTCTATTAAATAAATTTCAAACAAGAACTAAATAAACCTAGAACTAACATATTATATTATTTAATTTTTTTATATTACAATTCCTACATTCATTTATATATATATACACATATTTTTTTTATATGTTTCTTATCTAAAATTTTGAATTATACTTTCACATTTTTTTACTTAATTATTTATTTTGTATTTCAAATTTTTATTCAACTTTGTAAAAATTTATTTTGTGTTATATATCAATTATGATATATATACATGCAATATACGTGAATGCATAATATCACTCTACGTGTTTCATAATTATTAAAGTAGGATTTGGTTAATTTACAACCAAATGTTAAGTCGGTTTGATTGTGTTTAAATACTCCTACTGAATGAAATAAAATTACACATTAATTCCTTTCAAAGTCTTTCCTCATCAATTACTTTTTTCACATCACACATCACCGCATACATATCATATATATTCGTACCAACATACATATATAGCATATATATATATACAATGTTGCTACACACACATATATATATATATATTATATATAATATATAAAATAGTGATTAACGGTAAAACTAATTAATATTTTTATTGGCTAATTTTATAATAGTATTACAAAACGTTATCAACACGATTGTGTATTTTAATTTTTGCAAGAAAATATATAATATTTTATTTGTTTATTATGACTAACCTTGCAAAATAAGAATTTATTCTTCTTTTCGTTTTTGGCCAAAACAATGTGGCATGAGTTCACGATGTTAAAATACATCTATCATCAATGGGCTTGGAAAATACTATTGTCCGGGATAAAAGTCCCACGAGCCAAGATCGTGCAAAGGATCTTTTTGTGCCATCACATCAATGAGGCATTGAAAATGCAATATGTCACGCTGGAATTCCCACTTGAATTGTGGGAGAGATTGAAAAAAAGATACGATCACATGAGATTGACTTTGTTGCCAAGGGCACGAAGCGAATGGAAAAGCCTACGGCTTCAGAACTTTGAAACAATCCAAGAATATAAGTTTGTAATATTTAAAATAATATTATAGCTGCGCCACTGTGGCGAAAATATCTCTAAAACTGATATGATAGAAAAAACTTTCTCTACTCTTTATGCCTCTTACATGGTTTTTCAGTAGCAGTATCGCGAAAGAAGCTTCCAAGAATATAATGAGCTGATCACTTATCTTTTGCTGACCAAACAAAATAATGACTTGTTGTTGAAAAATCACAAATCTCGGCCGACAAGTGAAAATCCATTTCCAAAGGGAAATGTAATACAACCGAAAAATTCAGTGGGTGGTCATGGGCATGTCAGAAATCAAATAATTGATCGCGATCGAAATCACCGTCGCGGGTGGGGCCGTGCTAACTCATACACTTACAACAATTATCAAAACAAGTCTCGATGTGCCGAATTAGCGTTACAATGATAGATGGTCGTATAGACCTCAATAGAGGTTTAACACCGGGAGAAACATAGACAATGATGAGGAATGTACCTGGTGTGAAATCAAAGGCCATTGGGCCCATGCTTGTCGTAGAACTAGTCATGTGGTTGAATTTTATTGGGCCTCAAAAGAAAGACAAGAAATAGTTGCCATTGAAACAAATCATGCTACCCACGATGACACATTTGATGATGTGTTAAATGAAAATATCACGCACCTGGCTG